CACTCTCCTTTGTGGCCCACGTCTGCTCTGGGGCATGCTTCGCTAGACTGTTGAGGGAGACGGAAACACCCACATTGACTAATCCTGGGATGGCCCATTAGCACTGGGGGACTCTGTAAGGCAGAGCTGTCCCGGAGACAGCAGGCAGGAATTCAGGGACTCAGACAGGCCTGGTGGACTTGCCAAGATGCACGTCTTGGAGCAGAGCAAGACTTCGTGGGAGTGAAGTGAGAAGAGGGTCTGGGGCACATTCCCAGGAATGCGTGTTTTCTTCAACTGCTACACGAGGGGCCAAAGGCAGAGCTTACGGGCTCTTTTCAGGAAGGATCGTGTGAGATGCTGCAGGTGAGCAGGAAGATTTTTGTCTGCGATTTACTATAGAACACTCTGGCACAGAAGGTAATTAACGTTTGAGGAATGATGACCTAATCAAGAGTGTACACTTCAGGTTGGTGGGTAGCATTTAAAATTAGCATAAGAAGTCTGGGCTTTACAATCTGTTCTCCTAGGTCTGATCAATACCAGAAGAGTTTTAAATTTGCATAATGGATGCTAAAACTGGTTATTTATAATCGGTGAAAAAAGTAGTGTCTAAAGTGCATGGATTGGCTAGGAATGCTGTACAGATACTTGCACTCTCAAATAAAGAATAAGAATATAACAATTCTTATGTAATAATATAAGAAGCTAGCAAGCTCAGGAGCCTAGAGTCCTGGCAATGGCCCCAGGCCTTAGAATTCCATTGGGTCCTGTGTTCAGCCATTAACAGAGGACTCTGTCATCTGATCCATCCAGAGAGCTGGATCTTGCGGTCAGAATCACAAGGTTCACTCAGGACAGATACTGTCACATCTTTAGGCAAGGCACTGTCAGAAGGCCTAAAAAAGGCCAGAGAGCTGGGACTTCACTGGGTGACGCTACAGTTTGTGTAATGGTGGCTGTACCACTAATCATCATTTGTGCGTTTGGCAGAATTTAACCCAAACCTTGCTCTCATAGTACCAAATACCACCTAGGAGACAGGTTATAAGGGTTGAGGGAAGATCCATCACCGAGTTTCTAATGTTCCCAAGAAGATCCTGATGGTTGTGACGGCCCAGTTCGCTGAGGTCTGTCCAAGAACGAGGCTAAGACTGAGTGGCGAGCTTTCTGGGTGACACTGCACATAGCATTAGTGTGATGGGTGCTCCAGGAAATGCCACGTCCTGCTCCCTAGATGGCTGGCTTCTCGAAGGTGTTAAGAGCCAGCACCCTGCAGGGGCGGCTGTGTCTATCAGGGGGACTGGAGTAGCAGCAGGGAGGTGCCCTTGGTGGTATCCTGCCAGAAGAGGCCACTGTCCCTGGAATGTTGGTTTCTAGACTAGTGCAAGAATATTCCAGAGGTCTCTAGAAACAACTGGGTAAGCTCTGAGGAGCTCAGAGGTCCTGAGCTGTGCAGTTGAGGCCATGAGCCAGCTACATAGAGTCCAGTATCTTTCAGGAGACCTGACTTGTTGTCACAGTGATGTCTGGAGAGTACACATTCTTGGGGAAGCCCTATATCAGGAGTGGTGGAAAGAAGTTACTGAAGCAGGAGCACCAGGGACCCCTCGACTTACTAATGGGTCAGGATCAATGGGGGAGGTGGGTGTCCCCTTTTGAGCAGGAAGTAGGGAAGGGAAGTAGTGAAGGGGTTTTGGCACCCACCCTTTGTGGGCACGGCGAGGGGCACTGGCCCACTCCACTTTCCCCCCAGAGAGGGTGAGGGGAAGGGCTGGGGAGGAAGAAGATGACTGACTCTGATCTCCAAGTTGCAGCCCCTGAAATTGTAGCACTGAAAATCTATTCCTGGGAAAGGGTGAAGTCATCTGCTGGGACCTATTTTGTACAGATATTGAAGGGCCAACGGTTTCCTGTTCAGGGAAGAAGTCAGAATGCCTTGCCTAGAGGTTCAAGTGGGAAGAGACTAGGTTTAAGAGAGAGGGGCAGGATTTCTTTGTGTGAGAACACAGCACCCCCGCCCCTGCTTGCTACAGAGGCCATGCAAAACCCAGCAGGCCCACCTTGAGCCAAGTGGGGGGTTTGTTGCTGCAGGTGCCCCTGTGGGCCTGGGAGCTGAACAGTCACATTTCCAGACAAGACACTGACCCCAGAAAGTGATGCTGCAGCGGGGACGGGGTGGCCGCTTCATACTGAAGTTCTTTAGTGGTAGGTCTTCTGAAACAGACACTTTTCAGTGTCTTAGGACTGAACAGTCACATTTCCAGACAAGACACTGACCCCAGAAAGTGATGCTGCAGCGGGGACGGGGTGGCTGCTTCATACTGAAGTTCTTTAGTGGTAGGTCTTCTGAAACAGACACTTTTCAGTGTCTTAGGAATAGTCACTAAGGCACATTAAAGAGGTTGGACTAATTGCCTTGATAATTTACTAAACTCTGTTCTGACGCCAGACACTTTACATGCATCTCAGTCAATATTTTTGTGTCAATAGGAAGAAAAAACCCTGAACCTTGTGCTGGTACACCATGACCACCATGTTCTCAAATCGGGGAGTTACTTTCCCCCATGAGGCTGGCCGGTGTTCCTGGGCTGGAGCCCCTCTAAGTGTGAGGTTCCTTTAGGGTACCTCGTGCTCCTTCTGTCTCCGGAATTGACATCAGACCCTGTCATAAAAGAGGAAGTTTGTACTACACTTGCCAAGTCCACTTCACTGAATAATGTAGCCCATCAACAAAGGATAAACAAGGTCTGCATATATTCTTCAATATAATACATATACATGACTGTTACACATCTTTATAAGGCAAAGAAGTGCAGGTGAATGACACTATGTTCAGAAATAACAAATATACATAATATACGCAATGACCACATTATGAATCCATTTTTATTTTCTATCCACATCCATAAACCTCATCAGAAGGCCCTGCTGACATCTGTCAGCTGGGATGACAGTGAAAGCCACAGGTCAACACATGCACACTTAGGTGTTGAATGTCTTCTGCTCTTTGGATTGGGTGGTAGCAGTGGTTGAGTTACACGCCTTCACGGAAGGTGAAGCTGCCCACAGAAAGACCACGCACACGAAGCACTCCTCACTAAAGTGGAGGAAGAGAAAAAGGGGCACTTCCAATTTGAGAAACTGTAGACTTCAAGCTGTGCAAGGAAGTCGTCTTAATCCAGGAACCAGACATCTAGTAAGTCCAGCATCGACTTTCCTTTAGGACAGAATGCAATTTGCCTTTTGGAAATAACATTTTCATCTAAAAAAGCTCTAGAAGACCATCGCAATGGATGAGAAGACAGACTTTGATTCTCACTTAAGAAAAAAAAAAAAGTAAAAAAATAAAAAAGAGGGAGCAGAAGTAAGGTAGGAGCGCCACAGCTATGGAGAAGGGGAGCCTGGGTGATGCTGCAGCCCACAGGGATGACAGGACGGCCAGGGACAGAGTGCTGAGCTGGGTCTGATGAACACAGGCTCGAGGGACCCTGCTGCTTCCTCTCGCGTGCGTTTACAAATGGATTTTCCAACAAGGTCCATCAGTCGACCCGCAGCCCACCCTGAAGGAGCCCATGCATGCATACCAGCAGCCCCGGCAGAGTGGCTGGGGAGCGGGGAGGGAGCAGAAGGGGCAAAAAAGGAATGAAATAAACAGCAGCAGTCTCGTTTCCCTAGTTTCAAAACCATACTTTGATTCTAAAATGAGAAAACAATTGCTATTCTAATTTCCGTAAAATGAATGAAAATGTAAGTATTCATACATCTTTCAAAAGTATGCCACAACGATGGCACCATGCCTATTTACATTTTTGAGGAGAGTGAATTAATATCAAGTCAGACAAAAAGCAACTAAAAACAAACCCACGGTACCCCACAGACATGAATGTTACCCAGTTTCAACCTAGAAGTCTTTTCCCCGGGTTAGATCAGGTGAGAATCCCTTCCAAAGTCTTTATGTAACGAGTCAGGGCATGAGCACTTTTCTCCCTGCTTTTCAATAGCGACAGATTCTGGGCCGGAGCTGGTGTCTTCCAAATAACGAGAGCATGGGCGTGTTCTGTCCTTACTGCTCTGCGAGGTGCATTTCTCTCTAGGCAGTGGGAAGAGCCAAATCCAGGCCTCATTTCCTCTGTTTGCTAAAGGAACGGGGAACTGCCTAGCGAGAGTAAGTGAAGCCGTAGCATCCACTAAGAGGGCAGAGGAGAAACAGTCTCTCACGTCTTCATGGCTTCATGGAAAAACTGATCACAATAGCTTCCCTGAGTCCACGCTTGCATCTGGTTTGATTCCTGGGCTTTTCAAAGCCCCCTTTCCCCCTCAGAATGGCAATCTACCCAGTTCCTGTCTCTGCTGCAGCAGCCACACGTGGGTGTGGGGCAAGGGGACGGGACGAGCATGGGCTGAGCATCTCCCGTCCCACCCGTAACTCCAGACTGTGATCATCAACTCGGCAATGCCAGCTTACCCTCCACTCTCACAGGAAAATCACCCTGCTGGTGAGGGACACCTTCCCACCCAAATGTGGAAATTTAACTTATTCAGACAAGATCCATTTTTCAAAGTAGAGTCTCATTTCTAAACCTCAAAAAAAAAAAAAAAACCAAAAAAACCCCACTAACTGCAGGGTCATCAGTGGACTAATTTGGCAAAGAAATCATTCCTGCGTTTGGCCTAAGCTGTCTCTTCCATGGGTGGCAGCGCCTGGAGAAAGTTCATCTGCCAACATGAATCAGAACGGAAGCTGGATGCAAGCTGCACGTCCTGCGAAAGACCTCCTGCCACAGCCGTCAGAGAATGCACGCCACAGGACAGAACATGCCCTTCCATGCACGGTTTCAAGTCAGACCCTTGTGTCCTGCTTAGCATCTGAGTGAGGCCAGCTCTCTGCGGTCTGAGTATTAATGTGCGCACTGGCTTGTATTTTTCCACATTCAATGAAAGGCATCAGCTAAAGAAAGCACAGTAATATAACACTTCAGTCACAGGGTTTTGCATGCGTGCGTGCGTGTGTGTGTGTGTGTGTGTGTGTGTGTGTGTGTGTGTGAGAGAGAGAGAGAGAGAGTGAGTTTAAGGGAACTAAATTAAACATTTTAAGTACAGTCACATAACAGGAACATAAGAAACCAACCTTGGATAAATGCATAGGCCAAAAGAAAAAAGAAATGCATCATAATGTAAGAGAAAGGCTAGAAAAGAGCCAGTTTTATAGACAGCATGACCACGAAACTGGCATGAAGCCTTCAGTAAATTACACAATTTCTTCTATCTCTACTTCCCCTGTACCTCAAACAAGAGAATAAGAATGCTGCACATGTATTCTTGGCCATGCTACAAGGATTATTCTTGGCCACGCTGTAAGGATTCATTAGGTGGATATGAGAGATAATGGAAAAAAGCCAATGCAAATTAAATCTGCCCTTTCCGATGTGGCCACCAAGTTATTCTTATTACCTTTCACTGCTGTCGTGACAACAGTAGCCTAGAATGACTTATGGCTAAAAATGAAGGCAGTATTCTAGCTGATCTCAACGAGCAGTTATTTGGAAATGGAAAATGTGAGGAACACTTCCGAAACTGAGTGGGGCACGAGGTGTGGAGTGTGTCAGAGAATGAGAGGGGCTTTGCAGGGTCTCTTCTTCATAAGGAAATGACACACATGCTTTGCTCTTTAAAGCCCAGTGCCTTCCAATGTCCCACACACCATCCACAGTAGAAGAGCTCGCCAAATACCTGTCATAAAACGGCACCCGAGCTCAGGAAAAAGAAGCCTCCACTGGTCAACGTCATGTCCAAGAAGTGAGCTGAGCAGAGAGCTCCCCTCACCTTTGGTTTCTGACTGCCACTTCTTCATGACCCCCAAGTCACCTGAGACTCTGCACAGGTGAGACTGTTGATCTTTGAAAATGTTTGCGTTTACCCAGAAACTTGAGTGCTTATTCTACCAAGTCATTTCCAAACTGGAAGCTAAGTACTGTCCTTCCCAAGGAGGCAAAGATCCATCCCTTCTCATTGACAACTGGGGCTTGAGCAAAGCTCTGGTGACTGTTGACGTTTTCCCAAAAGTTGCAATTTTAAAGACTAACCATAAACAGATACCTTTGGCACTGCCTCTCAGAACCGTGAGTTTCATGGGGATGAACTGTCAATCAGAAGAGAGCAGGCAGTGCACTGTGAAAAGGCATGTCACTAACGTGAAGAAAGAGTCAACTACCGGGAACAACTGATGCGCTTGGGAGACAGTTCAGAGTAAACGGAAGATACAATGTCTGGTGCCTCTTGCCTCAGAATTCAAAGAAAGCTTATGTTCCAGCAAGCGAATTATTTATCCATTGAATTCACCTCATTTCCGATCACATTAAAATTATAAAGTCTTAGAAACTAAGTGTTCAAGGTTGCACCAGACTTAGAATTCGTTCTGGCGATATGATCACCCATTTGAAAGGCATAGCTTAATGACTGGAAGCAGTTTTCTCCCTCTAAATGCATCCTCCAGGTTTTAAAATCTCAAATAAATCTCAAGTATGATTGCTTTAGTAATCTGAGAAATGGCAGACATAATGCACCCCTTGCCTCCGTGACTAAGATCAAAAAATAAAAATAAGAAACTCAAGGTGGCAGAAAAACATCTTCCCCACGTGTGTTGCCATGGGGTGTGGGGATGTGTCTGTGCCCTCGGGGACCCCGACACTTGGGTCCCCTGAGCATGGCAGAAGCGCTCTAAGTTCAAGTCTGAGGGCTACCCCTGCCACAGTCATCCTAGGGGTCAGGGCATCAGAACTGCTGATTTTCTCAAAAATCTTCTCAAAGCAGCAGCAACCGCAGCAGTTTTCCTGCAAAGCAAACAAAATATGAATCTTGTTAATTCAGCAGGGCTTTAAAAATTATAATTAGTTGGTTGTGCCCCTTAGGAAAACCACAGATGAATTTTTTTTTATGCGTAGTGTGTATGTGAGAGAGAGAGAGAAAAAAAAATAAACCTCTTGATGGATTTCACTGCTTACCAGCCCACTAAAACTGGGCTTTTTTTTTTTTTAGCTTATGGGAGATATTTTAGTACTATTTGCAGTAGCGAGGGACAAGGCCTCTTTGTTTCATCTGAAGCACAGCTGCTCGTCAAGCTGCTGTCGCCCGTCTGTCCCGTCCGCTTGGTAGGAGTCAGAGTCCCGCAGCCGTGCATGGGGTACTTCCATTTGCTTTGCGGCCACGTCTGACCTGGGCCCCACACACCATCGCAGCCCTCCGTCATCCCTACAGACCTGGGGAGGTGCCCTAAATTTATGTCTCGTAGGCTGGCAAAAGTCGAAACAGAAGAAACGAGAAATGAAACACCGTAAGGCTGATATTTGGACTATCTCTCTGATGCATCAAAAAACCTCTAACAAATTGGAGGAGATTTATATGCCTCAATTTACATTATGGATTATGCTTTATTCATAGGGCCTGGAACTCTCTCTTTTTCCACAGGAATAATCTCCAACCACCAGATTTTTAAAATCAATATTATTTCAAATTTGGTTTCACTCCTAGTATATCTTGCCAAAAACCCCATTTCACCCTGGCAGGGAATATTATTGTGAAAAATTATTTTTTTAACTTCTCAAATGAGACTGCTCTTAGGGTTAATACCTTAAATTTATGTTTTAATTTTTTTTTTAAGTAAGAAAGTAAACTAGGAAACATCCAGTTCATGTGGATCTGAAACGATTTTTCCTTGGCCTATGGTGGGACCCAGGTAAGTTTCTGTGGCTGAACGGGGCTGAAGGAGCCCACGAGAGGACAGCAGCCAGCCCAAGTGACCGTCAGGAGGCAGATGTGACCAAGTCCAGACAGGGCTCAGGAAGCCACTCCAGCAAAGGCTGTATCCAACTGCGCCCGTGTGACCAGCCCAAATGCCTCCACCGTCACCCTCCGTGTAACTGTCACTACCTGGGCTGCCACTGTCTTCCATCGCATTGGGTTCAACGCAGCAACTGTGGCATGGAAGGACTCTAGCCCTCCCACTGCCACTTCCTCCTCCTGCTTCCCCGCCACATTCTGGCGACAGGCCGGCCTTGGAATGCAACCCCTGTCACCCAGTGAATTCATTCCCACCAGGCCTCAAAAGCCACTCCAGTCCTTATGGTGGGAAGGTGGTTTGTGGCAAAACCTCGGGGTTTGTGGTAGTTGAGGACAAAACTGCTTCTGGGAGAGAAGACAAGGGAGGGGAGAGGAAAGGTCATGGGCCCAGCTGCCTGTGCAGCTAGGAGCTCACGGCTCGGGGCGAAGGCACCTCGCTGAGCACCATCACCCAGGCCTGGGGACACGAGAGTCCTTCCTTTCTCCATGTTGTCGCAGAAATAAAACTACCTCCTGTGCTTCTCAAAACTGTAATATCTTGCTATTTTTAACAAACAAGAATGGTTTTTATAAGTGAAAAGCACAGTCCTTCCTGTTGACTTTTCTTAGATCTCTAAATAAGTGACAGACTCTGAAGGAGCCCTTACACCAAAGGCCAAATGCTTTCCTAACACTGGCGTGTGACATTTATTATGAGGTACTGATTTATTTCTACCCCAGCTCATTCTACAAAAGATTCAAGGCAGCTTACAAGAATATATACAGTCAAACAGACAAATAAAAACCTCAGGCTCAAAAAAATATAGATCGGAATAAAGGACTGAGACCAGGAGGCAGCAAGAACACAGACACTCACATGTCATAAATTCTTCACAGTGGTTAAAACTGGGCTGCAAAAACAGCCGTAGACTTACTGCTCAAGATTAGGGAGCTGCCTTGCTGGAGGGTCAATTGCCCCCAAACAAGGACATAAATGTTGGGATTTCTAAAAGTCCTCTATAAAAAGTGCACTGGTATTCCTTAGTGTTCTCCTTTAGGGCATGTATTGAGCTAGATTATTGATATAAAAGCAGGTATTCACGTGTAACACTATCTGTTACTAATGCCAACCCAGCTCTAAGTGGGGTGGAGAGCACATATCTGGGTTGTATGGAGCGGTGTTCCTCAGGGTCAGAGAGAGGGTCAAGATCAAGAGGCAGCTCAGAGGAGGAAAAGAACACAGGCTTTCGCTTCAGAGACACCTGCACGGCCGTGGGTGACTTAGTCTCTGAGTCTCTGAGACTCGGTTTCTCCATCTGTACAAAATATGGCATTACTTTCTTTGATCTCACACAATTCTCGCAAGAACTACCTGAGACAGTTTCTGTTCTGTTACTGGCTCCTACTGAGCTCATTATTCAGTACCCCTGAGGTACCAGGCCCTGGTCTCAGGCCTTTGCTTGGATTATCTCACTGGAGCCACTCAATAAACTTAGGGAGTGAGACTATCCCTGGTCCACCAATGAGGAAACTGTGCTTTCTCCACTAGGAAATGGCAGAGCCAGGATGCGAGCACAGCAGTCCGATCTCAGGACCCTGCCCACCAGCCAAAACACTGCCCTGCTCCCTGCGTCTGTGCAACAGCGCCGCGTTCCTTTCTTCCTCCTCTCTCTGAAGGCTTGCACATACACCTCTGCAGGAAAAACCCGACACTAACCTTTCAAATGGGTGTCTTCTGTAGACTATTTGGTCCCCAGGTCCCGAGCATTAGAGCCGCAATTCTTCTTCTAGGAAACCCAGAAGACATTTTGGAAGGATTAGAGCCGTTTTCATCAGTTATCATAGGAGAACACTTGAAGAATCAATAACTTGCTTCTGAGTAGAAAATGCTCTTCAAGAGAAGTTCTTGAAGCCTAAGTTGCTGAAGACCCCTGGCAGAAACACTGGGCGGCCCTCAGAGGCCAGCTCAAGCATGTCCCCCTCTCCCTGAATGCCCCGTCCTCAATACCCTTCCTTTTCACTTACGGCCAGGGCCAAGCAGCTCAGGACCTAATCACACTGAATTTTTACCCAGGTATATTTTGACAAAACTCACTTTGATAAAGCGCAAGTGTCAATGCTTGTGATACTGGGCTACAATGACTACAAAGATGAGTCAGACTCAGAAACAGCTTCTTCCAGAAGTTCTCTAATCTAGTAGATTACTCTAGTAGGATTACTTATTGCCTCGGAGAGATTCAAGAAGACTGAGAAAGAACCTCCAGTTTGGGGACTGAGTAAAGCTGTCGTAAAGGAGGTGGCATGGAATATGGGCCTTAGACAACCACTAGGATTTGGGCTGACCTGGAAGGAGGAGGAAACACAAGGCTGGAAGTGAGAGTTGGGGGGCTGGCCTTGGTTTGGTGTGGTCAATGGGGAGCGCATGAAGATTTTTTGACCAGGGAGTAATGTGATCAGAGTTATAGTTGAGGAGATAATGATTTGAAGGATCAGAGAAGAGAGTAAATGGAGGTTGAACATCGGCTCATGGGTTATTTCATTAGTTCATTAACAGAAGGGCACGAGCTAGGGTAGTAGCACTGGGAATCGGAAGGAAGGAACCATGTCAGATTTGTTCAGTTTCGTTCCTCGGCCCCAAAGCATTGATTAATTCTGCAGTCGGTGCTTGCTAAGCTCACTAGGGTCACGGTTTGGGAGTGCTTTGCCACCGCAGTTGAGAGCTGTTTCTGACGGGAGATGGGTTATGTGCGGGGACTGGAAATAAGAAAGCTGGGGACCACTGCATGTTGCCTTTAGCACAACACAGAAGGCAGAGAGCTTCAGGACCTTGATTTCTAAGGAAAAAAATCCTTCTTAAATTTAGTGACTGGCCATAGGCATGCTCACGTGGTTAAGAAATAGTGCGCTTAAGCATGAAACAACAGATAAATAAAAATGTACAAAAGACTTTTAAAATAGAATTTAGGTTGAAGTGGCAAATAGTTTTGCACCAGAATAAAAATTTCAACATAAAGGTAAATTTTAATCTTGTAGAACACATCAGAACAAAGATTATTCCAAAAATAAAGCTTCTGGAAAAATTTAGTCTCGATATTTTATTGAAAAGCCAATTATTTAAATTTGAATATTGGTTTTCATTAATGCCAAAAATGTACAGTGCAAGAACGGCTCTGGAAACGTTCAGGCCCCTCCGCATAGCAGGACAACAGAGTGGTGACACTCTGCCCCAGGCTCAGAACCTCACCCTGTCCTCTGTGTCCTCATCGAGGTAATGGGGTAATAATAGGTTCTCTTTCACAGCGCTGGTATGAGGATTAAATGAGTTACTTTTTGTAAAGCAGTTAAAACAGTGCCTGGCACAGTGCTGTATAATTATAACTTTAATGATTACTAGATTTACACAAGGAATTTTTATTTTTTTTAATTGTCACCATTCTTGAATATTTATTCACCTCAGGTACCAGGAGTTGGATGGAATAACAATAAAGGTGATTTTTCTGTTGTTGTTGTATGGCTTAAAAATATTTTTAAGCCCTTTTAGAACTATATAATGTCATTAATTATCTGCTGTGGTTTCTATATTGTCCTACCACGTCAAAGGGTATTTAGACACCAATAGGCTTGGATAAAAATACATTGCCGGAAAATTGGCTCAAAATGGGTTGGTAAGCCTAATAAGCAGTTTATGTAGTCTGGCTTAGGTACCAACTAGGTAATAAGTCTATTTTTACTTGACATCAGTACCAATTATCAAGGAAAGGTATATTCAGACACAAATAAAACAGTGCTGATTCTGAATTTAGAAGTAAAGTTAATTTCAATAAAAACTGGATGTGGAAAAAGTGAGTACCTGAAGCATAGTCATTCCAAGGTTTGTTGGTCAGTGAAAAGTTCCCTTCCAACCCCAGGCAGGGGGAGGACGAGCAGCAGAGCGGAGAGAGTCAGGGGCGCCAGCACGTCGCGCACAGGGCTGCGCCGGGGACCGGGGGCCCACACTGCTTGTTTATTGCCTCTCTGGGTGCCCTGCCCCATCGAGCACCCTAAGTGTCTAGTAAAGTTGCTGCAGTGCTACACATCTGTTCCTGTGTCATTTACATAATCCACAATTATTTGGACGGGGACAACATGAAGGAGGTAGAGAAGCCAGTTAGGAGGCCATGATTCAGGAGAGGATGTCCCGGCCAGGACAACCACGAGGACAGAAAGAACCGGACAGATGCCAGAGGCGATAGGATGTACAGAACTTGGCGTTAAATTAAATATGAGATGGGGGTTGCGGGGGAGGGAGGAAAGGAGCAGGATGGCCGGGGCTGGCTGGGGCTGCTCAGTGGGCACCTCGCTGGGAGGACAGCTGAGGGTGGGATGAGGGGGAGTGAGGGAGACGAGTGGAACCATCTAGTGCACAGGTGGGTATGTGGACCTGAAGCTTAGGAAAGAAATCTGTGCCAAGGAGAAGAGGAGGGAGTTGGAACACAGACGGTAATGAAGGCAGCGGGAGCAGACAGACTCCACTGTAGGACGCATCACAGAGCGTGGGCTCGGTTAGTCTCAGTGAATACTCAGTCTTTGGTCTCTGCTAAGAGTCTCCTTCACATGTATTCTCGTACAGACATCTGGACCACGCTGAGCATAACAGTTAAAATTTGTCGCCTAGAGCAGGCTAAATCAGGTAAGGCCAGAATTTGGAATTCTAAATTCTGTTTTAAGGGGGCCTATTTCTCTCAAATGTACATTAGAATATATTCTGCAAAACTTTATATGTTTACATAGCCTAGGCTAAATATATGACGGGTCTTCAAAATGTTCATGGAAGGATTCGTAATATCTTTTAATTCAATTTTTCCACGAACTTTCCAGAGTATTCTCATATGTGTTTAAGTGTGTGTGCATAGTACAATAATGTAATTCATTTTATAACAGATACAATGATCTAATAATAAACACAATAAACAATTATGCTGAAAATACTCTATTCAACAACATAATTTACATTTTTTAAAAAAACAAAAGCTGCTCAATAAAAGCATTTTAAGCAATTTAAAACTAACACAAGATTTGAAGACTGTGAATAAAGGAATTAGAAAGAATGTCATTTAAGGTTAAGACTCCTCTAGCATCTGATCGTCAAAAGACAGGCAAACAGGAGAAGAAGAGGACCAGGAGAAGCCGTTACCTGTGCCCCGAGCCTGGCGTGGAGCCTGTGGTCTGACAGCCAGGGGTGTTTGAGAGCTTCACTCGCACTTATCCGCCAACTGAAGGGAAGCACAGAAGGTCATCAGAAGGGGCCCTCTGAAGGAGGCCTGCACCTGCCACCCAGCCTCCACGCTGGCTGCTGCCTGGGCTCAATTCACAGTCCAGTCTGCTCTTTCTGGAAGTGTGTGTAATCAGTGATGGTGTAGGTGACCACCAGACCCAATCAGGGTAAACACAAGCCAAATAATCAAAATTCATGTTAATAACTGAGCATCTACTTTCAAAGATAACATCTGAGCTTCATAAATTGAACTCCTATCAGTCAGTGAAGAATAAATATACAATTATTATTGTAAGAACAAAATGCTGTAGTGATTCTGGATGAATCCAAAAGCAATTTATATGTTAAAACTTTTGAATACTAAGTATTACTAACTTTTGAACTGAGAAGTTCTGAAGAGTCAAATAGCAAAATAGAGTTAATATAATTATTGAGAGAATACATTAGATACCTTTATGAAGAAACTATATACTTTTGGAGCTAACAAAGGTTTACATAATTTTAGAAAACAATATGAGGAAGAATAGTAAAGATTTTGGTATATTCTAATTCTAAGCTTTGTAAACTTGTTTGTTGTGCTAACATGTATCACATTAAAGTAAATAACCCTTGAAAATAAAAACTGTGAGTGAGTGCAACAATCTGAAGTCTGCTTCCAAAAAATATCAAGTAGTTTCAAGCAGTCATGGAGCTTCAGTTAGTAGGATTGCTCCGATACAATCGTTTCATCAGATAACAAATATTCTAAGTATAAGACCTGAAGAGGAAATAAGTCTTTACTCAGCAACATCACCATTATAGAACACTAAACAGCAGAGGTAATTTTTAAAAAACTCTTTGACCTCCACCAAGCTCAGCTGGGATGTGATTCTGTTTAATATTCCAAATTTTCAGTATTGGACTCTGAAGCATTCCGATAGCTGACAGTGCCGAAAAATAATTATTCCTGCACGCTAATGTCAAACTTTTAAAATCTGACTCTTAAAAAGTTATTAACACTATACTAATAATTAAACTTTTAATAACATTTCAAGTTTATTTTTGTACCGCAGAAATTTATTCTATGGTAGTGATATTTGGCTTTGGCCTTGGTTTCATCCAAGTGTTGACTTGAATACTAAGCCAGCTGCCATTCCTCCCAGTGTGTCCGTGATGCTCCTTAGGGAGCAGCGCAGCCTCAGACTGAAGACGAGAGCAGGGCACAGGGCCTGCCTCTGAGTCTGCTCTGCACTAGCCGTGGGTCTGTTTCAACACGCTCAGCCTCAGTTTCCTCATCCGTAAAATAACAGCAATGATGATCCACATACCACAGGATTATCTGGAGGTTAAATAAGGTGACACGTAAAAAGTACATATGTAAGACAGGCTCTCAGCAAATGGATTTCTTATCCTCCAAAGATGGAATAGGTTGACATTTTCCATCTCTTCACTGCCTGGGGTACAGTAATGAGCAAATAATAGTGACAGCCTTGGCTGTCATTGTGCCTTTCCGCTAGGGACAAAGCGAAAAATGTGTTTACTGCCCTCCTCACAGACTGACACTCCCAGGCTGCTGCGTCCTCCTCACCTTTCAAGGACTTGGTCCTGGCCCTATCTTTGTGTTAACCACATTGCATTATGTCTTCTTAAAAATGCCTATATCTTCCATTTGATTGTGAGTTACAAAAGGCAGGGACGTTATACATCTATTCTCAATGCCTGGCACATTTCCTGGTGTATAGTAGATGATCAACTAAACGCTCGAAGGAAAGAATCTGCTGTCAGGTGCTGTGCTAGACCCATTACCCATGCTGTTCCTCCTTCTCTCCATGGCACACTCCTTTCCATTGATTTGTGGTCACGTTTATTAATGACCTAAAAGCCATAAAGATAATAAAACAATATAGCAAGTATTATTGGCCCCCAAAATCTTAAATACTATCTACCATTATAAAGTTTATGTAGAAAGTCACCTGAAACAGTGTGTTTGACAGGTAGATCACAATGTCCTTCCCCTTCTATAATTCTAAAACACAAGCCCCTGTATTTCAGTATGGCTCTTCTTCATCTGCTCAATTTTGAATTAATGTGGTTTTGGCATGAGAGAAAATAGAAGGCCATGTGATATACAACAGCTAGTGTGTGGCCTTGCAGGAAGGTGGACTTGTGTTTAAGTACCAGTCCTGCCACTTACTGGCCATGTGATCATGGGCAAACCACCTACAGTCTCATCCATAAAACAGTAATAATGATAATTTCTACCTCATGGAGTTGGGGGTCAAGGGTGGTGTTAAAAGAGATAACGTCTATAAAGCACTTGGCATAGTCTTGTCCACAGTAGGTTCTGAAATGAAATGGTTAAGGATTCAGCTACAGAGAGCCATGTATGTGCTTTGTAGAGGTGAAAGGGATCACAGAAATAACATACCCTAAACCCTTTGCTGTGAGGAGGAGGCAGCTGAGGCCCCACAGGAGTCCATGATCACTAGAGCTTTGTCTCTAAAGGCAGAAGCAGAGAAGTTTTCACAGCCCATTCAAGTCTCATGCCGAAAGCAGTCCCAGACCTCAGCAGACTGAGTCAAGAGAATCAAACCTCTCTCTATTTACAACTGTGCAGAACAGTGCAGATACCACTAGGGAGTGGATTCTAATAGCCCTGGAGGTCTACACTGCTTCCTGGTGACCCCCTTCTCCCTGACTGCAGGACAAGCTTGACTGACCTCTTCTCCTTAATCAGAAGCTTCGAAATGAACTCCCTGGCCTCCTCCGAGATGTCCTGAAATTCTTCTTCCTCTAAGTCCCACCTGCAGGCTAGGATGTTGTTCAGCGTCTCCGCGTCATTATCACCCAGGAAAGGGGACAAACCGCTAAGTCTATAGGACACAGGATCCAGAGTGAGTGTTTTTTACACAGCCTTAAAGCCTTTACAGACAGGTTGCTTTTTTGGTTCTGTCATCTAAAAGTGAGAGAAGGAAAATAACCTCATAATGAAGTGTGATTTATATTCTATTATCACAATCAAGAAAATTACCTCCCACACCCCAACGCCCAAACAAACAACCGCAGCAATGACAACAGCAGAGATATGAATCTCAAAGAACAGTACAAATTCCTTTCCCAAGCCCTTTACAGCTGGTGAAGTGCTGTCACATACTCGGCACACACCAGGAATGTCACCTCTGAAGAGTAAGGCTAGCATGAGTCATTTAGGAGATCGGGACACACGTTTTTTGTTTTTTGTATTTAATTTGCTCTTAGGGCTTCAGGAGTTAAAGTGATTAGTGTAGAAGGAACACATTTACTTTTTCAGATGACATATGGGGAAAGAATTCAATGCTTTCACCCACAGGATTAAACAGAACCTAGAAAGCAACTGAATATGCGACAGTATTATTTATTTTTAAAAGACCCAAATTAGGGCTTTCATTCAAGATAGCAAAACCTCATAGAATATGAGTGAAGGTTGAGAACGAGTGTCAGAGAGACTGTAAGCTGCTTACAGCATATAGGCGATGACCCCCACACTCCACATGTCAGTAGGAAAGGAAACAAAATCATAGTTCACAACTTCAGGGGCAAGAAATTCTGGGGTTCCAAAGTTCACCTTCAGCTTCTCTCTGGGTTTGTATCTGAAATTTAGGGGACAAAGCAGAAGGATGGAGAGCATCAATCAAAAACCAAAACTCATGAAAATTGAAAAACTGCAATCTGTGGGAAAATAACTTCAGCTGTACAGCGAACTTCAAATAAATAGACTTTAAAGGAAATCACATATTTTACCGATACTGTCAAAAACTTGTAAGGAAGTCCCCAGAGTTTTAAGAGTCACAATTCATACTATAAAACCTTAGTAATCTCAAACTATTGTGGGAAAAGCCACTCAGAATAATTAGAACATCTAATTACAGAATTTGACAAAAGGAAAACTGATACAGTCCTTGACATGAAGATGGCTTGAATAAGCATGATTAAGGAATAAAAAAAATGCTGCAATAATTTATAACATCCATTTTATATGCATTGCTTATGTGCTGAATTGTGAATGTGTCCATGTGAACTCTTTGTTCTTTTAAGAAGCTTATGCGTGCCAGAACCCTTTGCAATCTTGTTTATACTATTAATATTTTTTAAAGTAAATCTTCTCTGTACAGCTGGAGCAAATATAAAAGACTAAGACAAACTCTTACAAATCCTAAATTAATGGCTTCAAATTTAATAAAGTTCACTGCATTAGGTTTCAATTTTTCATATTTTTCATTGCATGCATTGTAGAAACTTCTAAACACTGGAATCTCAAATTAAGCAAGGTAAGCCTAAACATAATTTTTGTTAAATTAATTCTAAATGAGGGCAAGAAACCAAGGAGCTCATTGGATTTATCTTTGTGAATAAAGAGCACCCATCATGTTTTCTAACTGCATTCACACACCTGTGTCCAAATAGACATACCTTCTGGCCAATCCGAAATCAATAATTTTTATTTGTTTAGTGTCCCGATTCACACACAGGATATTCTCAGGCTGCCAGGAGAAGGAGACACATTAGCAATAAAAACAACCATCATTCACTCAAATTGTCCTTGAACCACAACTAAAAATACAACGATGCTCAGGAAAAACATATCAGACCTTTCACTTTGGGGCTGGCTTGTCTGTGTGGGTATTTTCTCCTTTAATTATGTGGTGGGTGAGGTTGTGGCTACCCTGCCAGCCTTGCATTACTCTGCCTGTCCCTTTCCATGGTTTTACAGTTACCATAATGCATGAGTTCAGGCAGAGGCCTCCTTGAGGGGAGAAAGAAAAGGAGACTGCTTCAGTGCTCTCCAAATGGACTGGGGGGGAGGCCAGCTCAGACTTGACATCTGTCCCCCTGAAATTATTGAGTATGAATTTCCCCTTCTTGGAGGAATATTCTTCCCAAAGATTTATGAATTCTGAGAGAAATGGCCTGATTCATTTAAACAACCACACTGAGTATGCAGTATAATGTGAACGTTCCCGACGTTCTTCCCATTCTAGATCTTCCCGTTGCACTTTGTCTATGGGAAAGTCGCACGTAAGAGGAAGGCTTTTCTTTCCTAGTCATTCTTCATTCTCAGCCATTCCAAGGTTTTGCTGAGTTTGGTCTCAAAGCCTAAAACTTGACTGAGGGTTCTGTCTGTGTCAGACTTCGGGAAGACTACATTGTGGGCAGTAGCACTGCCACTCAGCATTCATGGAATGTCTCACAAGTGTAACTACACTTATTGGGATAGAAAAACTGAGTCTGGGAAAAATAAGGGATATGATGTAAAGTCAAGGTCACCCATAAAAGAGAAATAAGGCTTTTAAAGAAGAGCCAAGAACTCTTTAAACTTTAGTCCCAACTCTTCCTTAAGAGTGGGGGTAAGGGAACATCAGACAAGTTGCTGAGTGCCCAGCATTGCATTTCCCTGTCCTTCAGGTGGGATCACAGCTCCCTACTCCCCCACCTGTCTGGGTGGAGAAGAGGCTCAAATGAGATCAGAAACTCAGGAACACTTTATGAAATGACGTACTGTCTCCTTATCAATACTCAATAGTCCATTTGGCTGGGCATAATATCTTTGGAAACCCTTTTCTAAAATATCTCTAAAACAGATGTCCGTGAGTAAAAACCATTTATAAAAAACTGGGAGCCATGTAAGAACATTTGGTTTCATGCTTAAATAACTGATCAATCATGTATAAAGCTGTCCAATTGTAAAAGAATATTATGGCATCAAAAAATGTGTTTGTAGAATGTAAAGAAGCAGCTTTGAAGCACTTCAAAAAGTTAATTTTATATGATTATGAAATTAAAGAACATTCATTGAATAAGATCTGGAAAACAAAATATAAAGGAGACCATTTTTAAGTCACCTATAATTTCCCCCATATAGTGACAAACACTCAATATTTTTGGCCCTTTTCCTTCCAAGGGGCTTTCTGAAAAGCTAGTCCTTAATGGCCCATCCAGCTGTCGCCTTTATTATTATCTTCACATGCAAGCCATAACAAAAAGTGCCCACTGCAAGTCCTCAATCAACATAATGAAGCCACATATGGAGTCATTTGACTTACAATAGGTCAGCTCCTAGTTCCAGCTGCCAATCAAATCTCTCTAGGGATATCTGCAGAATATCTACACTCAATGAAAACGCTCCATGAAAGTTCACATTATCAAACTCAGTTCACAGCCAAGGGCTTTGCTAATGATTTCTAACCCCTGACTTTGTCATTTTATACACCACTTCCTCCTGCCCTCCTCCCACTCAAAACTGAAGGGGAAAGGCAAGGCACATAAATCAAGGCAGTGAGGCAAGTCATAGGAAGAGAGGACCGTGGAAACCTATGTAAGGAGGCTAAATCTATTTAGCTGTACAATCCCTGCTGACTTGCAATAGCTGGTGTGTAACACAGTATATTTTATCTCACTGTCATGCTGTGCAAACAGGGAGATGGTAAAATGACTGAGCCACACAAGAAAATGCACTTGATGATACTTAGCCCCAATATTAGACTTGATCAGGGTTATTTATCAGGCCTGAGTCTTTCACTGGGTATAACTAGGACTATGTATAGTCCAATTCTAGGGATTTCATAATGAGAGAGAGATAAAAAGGGATAAATAAGGCTATAAATAAGAGGCGAGAGGAAGGCACCTGACTTCCCATGTTTACTTTCCATCATTTCCAGCATGGTGCTCCCACCCCACCACCCTCTCTGCTCCTTAGCATTTCTGCAGCCCTCTGGCTGCCCTGTGTTCTGTTCTTTATAGGTTTCTACTCAGTACTCTGGCGTGCTGCAGATTCTTAGAGATCTGCAAAGTTTCGCTACTACTTCGGGATTCTGAGTTAGCTAAAATCCTCCCACTTGCTTATCCTGATAATGAAAGAGATGCCATAAGGATACTGCTGGCTGGTGGTAGCTGTTTTCATTCTAAACCTTTAGGGAAATTATCTGCCCTGTAGATTTCTATAACATAGGCATGTTACAAAAATCTGCACAGTAGCCCCTAAAGATGGGAAATGCGTATTAGAGTGTAACAGAAGTTGAGAATTAGGAAATGAGGATAAGAATCCAGATTTTTATTAATTCATGAAAATGCAACCCGTGGCAGTACACATTTCCTGAGCTGGTATATAATATCCGACAGGGCCCACTGGTCAACATGAGGGGAGGGGCGGGGAAGCACTTACACTCATATGCTACGAAACATGCTTTACCTTGAGGTCCAAATGCAGAATGTACATCTGATGCATGTGCCTTATCCCCTCACATATCTGCTTGATGAACAGGATGGTGTCAAACTCGGTCAAACTGCAGTTTTCGTCAATGATGCGGTCGAACAGCTCCCCACCATCCACACTGTAGAGAGAAGAGGAGTGAAACCCTTTGTCTTCATTCCTCAACCGCCACATTCTTTTCTTGTAGCAACTTCATGTGTAAGTTCCTCAAACTCTTCCAAAAACATATGTGTGCGCAATTATTTCTCTGCCTCCTTTGCTGTCTTGGTGAGACAATTCTTACGTTGAAGGCCCTTATTTCATAGACCTTCAGTTTCACAAATGGAAAGTCTCAAAGTCCCTCTCATCAGCAGGTGCAGCTCTGGGCGAGTCCACGTGTCCTGTTCTCCCACACATATCCAAGATCAAGAGGACACTAAGAAGCAGGGAGAGGGAACTCTAAACACTGACTGAGGGTTATCAGGGTCTCAGCCCTGTAAGTCCCCAGACTAATCTCAGTGATAACGTGCTTCTGTGTGGCAGGTATTTTTTATCCAAAATGCCTTACTGTACAGTGATAAACAAAATCCAAAATGAAAAGAAAAAACAAACTGAATCACAATACTGATTCAGTGTCAGAACTACTCATTTTCTAATTAACCAGTCATTAAGTTTTTATAAAGGTCATTTTAAAGTGAAGCTACTTAGCCCTAATCATCAAGAGTTTGACATAAACTCTGTATTAGCAAATATGCTGAACAAGAAATGTAGTTCAAAACTGACTCCACTCTCTCCCAGGTTGCCCAGGATAGTATTTAAGCTTGTTTTTGGACAGTATGGCCTAGATACAAAGCTAGATCTACTTTGTCCTGCTACTTATCAACAAAAATCACATACAGAGATGCATATTCATAAGTAGTTCCCTTTCTGAAACTGATGTGCTTGTGTGATTGGTGTGAATCAGAATTAATGGTGGATGGAGCTTTGTTCTGGCCCTGCTGAGGCAGGACAGGGCTGCAGCCACATGGTCCTGAGTGCTGTGGAGGAGGTGGTGGAGGGGAGCGGGAAGGGACACCTACTACTCCATGACCAGGATGATGTCATTCTTCGACTCAAAGGCATCATAGAGCTGGATGAGGTTCACGTGGTCCAGCTGGTTCATGACGCTAATCTCATTCTTCACATCCTCCTGAGAAGAGGGAAAGGTGCTTTAGTGTGGTAAAGAACAGGGCAGGGAAGAAGACGTCACCTCCCATGGCCTTTACCTTGTCCTTCGTGCCTCTGGTCTTAATAATCTTGGCTGCCAACTTCAGGCCTGTTCCTTTCTCTTCACACTTGTGCACCTGGCCAAAACGCCCCCTGTCAAAGAGGAGGAAGCACGACGTGAGGCACTGTCCTCTGCCAGGAACCGGCATCAGTCGCTCAGGTGGATAATGCACGGTGCCCTGCGCAGTGCTCTTTCGGAGTTTTGAATAAGCAAGCCTATTTATGCATCTACTGTATCCAATAAACTCCTAGAACAATATTTAGCAAGGTGTGGTTGTGGGTCACTCACATCAGAATCACATGAGGGGTTGTTAAGAAACCAGAACTGCTGAGGCAGGAATCCAGAGTGAGGCCCCAGAATTTGCATTTTCAGACCATTCCTTGGGCGAATCACATACACCCTAAAATCTGAGACCCACCGTTATAGACAAAACGGAATCTTCCTGAATGTGTATGAATGTAATAAACTGGACTTTCTCAGCATATGAACAATACAGCCTGTGGTCGGGGATACTGAATTATTTTTAGAAACTGCATATAAATAAATAAGAAGTAATAATAATAATGCATATAGATCCATATAATCAAAAACACATATTTTCGTAGTTGTCTATGAGATTTTTGACAGTTTAGCTTGACTATAAACCTGTATACTTACTTACTGTATGTCTTACTCTGTAAGAGAGCTTCTTATTATGTAATCACATACAGAAATGCACACCCATAAACAATTTTTAAATTTGATTTGCTCACTTTGATTCCTTGTTTAATAAAGATGGAACACACATCCTTGTTCTGTGCAATGGTGGCTCTTGTGAAAGGCAGTGAAAGGGGAGCCTTCCTAACAACACCGTGAACTTGCGGAAGGCTGTATTCCTGGAGGACTGCAGAGATGACAGATGCACAGGCAGTGACGGCTACTACAACCCATTCAACTCAGCTGCCCATGCAGTGCACAAGCAGATGGACCTTGGAGGATGACACTGAATTACTGTAAACATAGCCAAGTGGTGCCTTCAATTCCAACGACTGCTCCAGATGTAATCTCTACTGTCGGACAGGAACACTGCCCTAGGCACCTCCTATGTGGCTGTTGATTAAGAAAATGCTTTTTCCCCTTCATTAGCCATGGACCCCAGAACTTCCTGGCCCAGCAGTGGTGCCTCATCACTGTCTGTCTTCCTGCAACCCCTACTCTCTAGGTCTCTCACATGATTTATTCTGCAAAGGACCTGAATGCTGAGGCCACCTCACAGGATTCATGCTCGTCCACCAGACTAATAACCTCATGTTAACTGAACATGATTATCAGGGATTATAAACACCCTAGAGGCCACAGGGCAGGAGGTGAACTCCAGGAAAATTCAGGGGCCTCCCTCTGCATGTTGCAATATCTCTGTCAAAAGTAAAAGATAAGTTGCTGCATCTTGAACTTCCGACCACTAAAAAGGAGGGACAGCACTTGATGATCTCTTTGCATTTTGAAGGCAACAACGCACATTCGATTGTGCTCCTCTAACTGATTTGCTGAGGGGATTATGGATGCTAGAGTGGAGCCCAGAACAAGCAATGACCGGCAGCCGATCCAGACCACAGCACAACCAAGAAGACCCAGCGGTGTCCGAAGAGGCCGAGGGAAGTTTCAAAGGACAGACCTTGACAAAGCATTGACTGGAAAAGCAGCCCAAGTCCTGGGCATTATTTCAAAGCTTCTTCTGCAAATACCTATTCTCCTTTAGAGAAATAGTTGCTTGCTTGCCACTGCAGTCCCTGAAGACCCAAATACCTCAGGCTTCCATGGCACCAGTCCATGTTTGGAATTCCCATTTCCCTCTCAGCCCATCCTACAGTCTCATGGGGAGCTCTCTATGGTCACTCAGCTGAGGAAGAAAAACTTCAGGCGGTTCCATGGGGCAGAGGGTGAAAGGAATATGGAAGGCGAAGAGGAACAAGAGGCTTTACAAGTACATTAATGACCAACTGCAGAAACCTGTGCCCTGAGGGCTGTGCATATTTTCCATGTGTACGTAAGGAAATTTTATATACGCGTGTGTACATTTTCTGCTTTCCTCTTCCAATTTTACATAGACGTGCTGATGGCAGTAAGCTTTATAATTTAGGCTTTGAGTTATAAGATATCATAGGGAGATTATGAATGAAGTAGAAGAGGAAAGAATGAATTTGCTCCCTGCTGGACTTTAATATTCCTTCTTTAGGGAGACAAGTGTGCATTTGGATGTCCCTCAAATAAGGTTTTCAGTGAAGAAAGTAATGAATTGAAATGGACAATAGTAATTAATAAAGTAACAATGTAAATGGAAAGCCAGCAACAGTGATAAGATTTAATACATGCCACAAGAAACACACAATACTGACTCATTTCTACCTCTTGTCTCCTGGTGGTTATGCCGTGGCTTTGGGCAGCTTCTAAACCTTCTGGTGACTCATGTTGTGTTTTACTTACTTTCAGACATTACAACATGGGAAGTAAAGCAGATAATAAATGCAGAGTTTAGTCACCACATCAACCTTTCTGGCATCAGTGACAATTTTCAGAAATGGATAAAATCTATTAAAATGTTTGTTTACGATGTTTCTAGTTTTCAGGCTGAGAATGGCAAACATGCATGAAGTCCTCAGGATCTGTCTCTCTGGAAGCTCTCACCTTTGGTTGAAAGATTGTTAAAATTGAGCATTACTTACCCTCCTAAAATTTCTGTTTTGCTCACAGTATAAAAACTGTTGACCGCTGCTTGTTTGGCTGTCACAATACGATGATCAAATGGGGCAGGAGGAGCCGGGACATCCTCTAGAAGGCGAGAGAAGAAGGGCCATCTGTCAAGCAGTCAGACTTCTCAGGGGCATCAAGCATTGGGCCTCATCGTAAACACTTGCTCATTTAATAATAAAATACAATAGGCCTTCTGCTTTATTCCTAACAACCCAGGAATATTAATTCTCATTCTATATTAAGACCTGTGACTCATAAAGGTGATATCTGACATCTTTGAGAAAGACTGTCAGGACCACTCAAGATGGACCACTTTTAGAAATGCCAAAATAGTTGAAAATCTCCAACCTCAGTACAGTCTTAAAAAATAATACTTCCAAGACTGACGCCATTTTAATTCAAAAGTAAGAAATTGTTTGATCCATTTTTTATAAAGCACCACTGATATAGTTTGCTATTTTAATTAAAGGAGAGAGAAAAAAAGTGAAACACTTTGTGTCATTGAAATGTTTGATATTGTATGTTACTTTCCAAAATGATTTAGGCTTTACTTAAGACACATTTAAGGCACAAAGATGAATTTTTCATGGCTGACTAGAAATACAACACACAATAAAACTAGGTAAGTGTGTATCCTACAGCTGTCCGACTTCTCCCACATTCCACCTTCCATCTCAAGTGTTTGAACTGTGGTCCACAGCAGCAGAGGTTCTACTTTGCATAATTACTCAATGATATTTCTCCCAAGTATTATTTTTACTTTTTCATGACAACTGCTGCTAAAATTTGCTTGCCATGAACCTGTTTATTCTCCATTTATGCATTTATTAAGCAGCTACTGCACACATACAATGAGGATACAAAGAAAGGTGAGTAGATAATAGCTTTGCTTTAAAAAATTAATTTAACATACGTCTTAAGCACTTCTTGTTCCAATTACTCTGTCAAGTGTTAATATATTTTACGAATTCAGATAACATAAATCTCTGGGAATCTGACTTGATATTGACAATCACCTCTTACACCATAAATAAGCTAAAAAATGAAGTCATGAGAGAATTATTTTGATGGTATTCATTGCTTTAGAGTTAAAAAAAAAGAGTGATTGAGTTAAACACACAAATGGCACCATCAGTATGGCATTATGTCTCCTTCAGGCTGTTACACTAAGTGCAATTTAGTTGGAAATGCTTGCTGAAAAAGGTTAAGAAGCCTTTGGTCTCCTTCCAGGCTGTTACACTAAGTGCAATTTAGTTGGAAATGCTTGCTGAAAAAGGTTAAGAAGCCTTGAATGGCCAAAACAAAAGGCATTTCCTACCCAGTGGGGCCACCAGGTCTTGCTTTCTGGAGGTCTTCATCGCAGCGGACTCCCAGGGTTTGCCCTGGAAGCTCCTCTGGGCTTGTCTGTCTTGCTTTGTCCTTTTGAATGCGTGTCCTTCACCTGTGCCCACTACGTCTGCTCTGCTCTTTTTGCTGTCCTCATTGATGGAGCACCCCTCTGTCACTCTACGCTTACTGCTGCCAGTGTACCCTCTCTGTTCAGCATGCTGGAAAAAAGATCCTACTGCTGAATTTCTTGGAATTCGTGGTATAGGAACGGTCTTTATGCCGGTGATACACCTGGAAAATAAAACCCAGTTGCAGCTCTCAAAGCTTCAGGGAGAAAATTTTCAGATGGTCAAAATTCTTAGAACTAATACTTTCTTAAAATGGTGTTTTGGTGAAGAGGACATAAGCTCCATGACAGAGAGTTGACCATTTCAGCATTTGGGGACAAAAAGGAGCAGTACGCTTCCCCACCTCAAATCTCAGTAGCACCATAATGGGTGTAGATAACCGAGATCCCAGAGACTCTTCCCAGGGACCTCATCGTGACCCCACATTATTCCACTGACCCTTTGCAAAAACAGTCACTTTGTTAATACCTGACTAATATGACCTTCAACATTTTCACTTCCTTTCCTTATAGAAGAGAGAAATGACTAAATTATAGCATAATAAAAGAAGCAATAATCTCTCAAAATATTAACAGCAGTGAGAGTAAATCTTTATGGGTGGAAGAACTGACCTAATTTCCGTCTTTCGGCAGCTCCTGACCTTACTAAGCAATCTCTGCGGTGATGAACTTTCTTAGTAATTATTAGTGTTTATGTTTAATTCTTGGAAAATTAGATTTCTCCAAGATTAGGTTTCAAATATATTATTAAAAGATAAAACAAGAATTATGTATTAAATCCCTAAAAAAGACCACACAGGTGTTTGGATACTCTTTGTTTCAAATAGATGTTGTGATTCATCAAAACCTGGAGTATTTAATTTTAATTGGCTACAAAATTAGCTGAATTTCTACGTGAAACTTTGCTGTTGATGAAGAAAGTCACTCAATAATCTACTTACTTAATCACCACAATATTTGGGAGAAAACAGCCAATCTGTCATGTATAATGGGGTAGGTAAACTTTTTCAGATTTAAGTTCTTAACTTATAGATAAATCTAGTCATTATTTAATTCTTAACCTTAGGAAGGATGTGTTCTACATTGCTAAAAATAAAAACTTTTTACTTGATCTTTAAAAAATACTGATTCCCGTAAATACTAAAAATCATCATCTTCATCTAGCAGTTGGTAGAAGACTAAGAAAACAATAAAATGCCTGAAAATATCACAGGCAGGAAGAAAAAATAATGGCAAGAAAACATGGCCATGAAATAGCCACATAACCTGGGGAAACCATGTTCTAAATCATTGCTTTAAATCTATTTATTCTTTCGATATGGCCTTACATTGCAATGGCACATAGACCTACAAAGAGCATCAACTGTGGATGTGTAATGCTGGGACCCTACCTTTCATGGAATTGATCACCACTAACTTTACCAAAGTACTGCCTTTCGTTTGAACACTGGTCCAACTCTGTTTCACTCGCGGTTGCCAATCTTCCTTTTTTCTCAGCTTCTCTTCCACTAGTATCTTCCTTACAACGAGGCCCACTTTCCTCTCCTCTGAACACTGGACATCCATTTTTATCCCCAGTGGCTTGCTTCTCATCTCCAAGACTATGATTTTCTTGTCTGTTGAGGCTCTTGGCGCATGAAATGTCTCTTCCATCTATATCCTCTCTTGGCTCTGTGGAATTTCTTGGAGCAAAATGTTCTACCTCATCTTGTACTTCTGCATGAAATATGGCAAAACGTCTCTGAACTAGAGAGGGATTGGTCTTCTCATCATTTTCCTTGTTGAATTTATTAACCTTTTCTTTCTCAGAGGAGAGTTGGTTCTTCTGAGAAGATCTCTCTAGAAGCCACCATAGGACACAGAATATTTTAATGGAGAATGCATGTGATCAGTATAATTTTCGCTTCATATAACGGCATCTCTATTCAGGTTTCTTTTTATCAGCAGATATAAGCTTTTAAAAGCAAACCAGAAGGAAGTATGACCAAGTGGCTGATACTTGGGTTCCAAATGATTTTCTTGTTTGTAACTGGTAGGACCCAAAGCCAGTCTAATAAAGGCATTTAAGAAAACAGCACTTCTCCCTATGCAGGGCTGTATGAAGGTTTAACTTCCTCTTAATAACAGCAACTAGGCTTTTATAACAGAACTCTCTCTATCCATAATCATCTAGTCCTCTAAAGATGTTACCTGTGAGGGCTGACGTCCTTCCGCCTTTGACAGGTGTTCTCTCCTTTAGGCCAGGGTTTGACCACACCTTCTCCTTTGCCTGTGGGTATGCAATTAAGTAATTGAGGTTATATAACACATCAGAGTTTCTCAACCGCAGCACTACTGACACTTGGGGCTAAATAATTCTTTGTTGCAGGGAATATCACTAGCCTCATAGGATTGTTTAGGGGCATCCCTGGCCTCCATCCACCAGATGCCAGTAGTACCCTCCCTCCAAATTGTGACAACCAAAACTGTTTCCAAAGATTGCTAAATGTTCCCTAGGGCAAAATTACCCTAGGTTGAGAGCCACTATATTATATGATTTGAACATAAAAAAGGAAAAAAACCACAAAAAATAATACAGTAGTAATGTGAGGGCAGATCAGTCTAAATTAATGATATCCTACAGCATCTGAAAGCAAATGAATTATTTTCAAAGAAATTCTGTGAAACTCTGTCATCATTTGTAGAAGAAAGCCCATCTTCATGAATAGATTGAAGGATGATGTGTAAGTCACCGTTGACCTCTGTTTAGGATGTCTTGATATGGTTCACATATAAATCAGATAAAAATGAGAGAATATACGTGAATGAGCTTTGTAAACCAGAAAGCAGGAGATGAAAGCAAGCTTTATAAATGGAGCTTTTACATTTCTTAATTCAGATGGCCCTTTTCCTAAGTAGATAAACATTCTTCTCACAATACTAGATTCTCTGATTAGCTAAGCAAACCCTTTCGAAGCACCATGTAAAAGGTAAAAAATAGCCCAACCCACCCAAATTACCAATACAGACTAAGGTTATCCAATACAAATTAATGAAACTGTATGGATGTCCAAAGAATCAGTCTTTTCTCTCCCTTTGCAACAGAACGCAGTTTGCCCTAGGGTGATTTGCAAACATGAAATACCATGTAAGTGCAGAGCGTGTGTATCAAGACAAACTGCAAATGTACTTTTAAACAATTCCCAGGGCAATTCTACACATTCAGAGTATTTCCATTTTTTTAGATGGGGACCTTACAGAGGCATGTTTAGTACATCTGTGGAAAACTAAGGTTGGAGATTAGAACCTCAGAGTTTCTCATTTGAGTGACAGTGCAGGGATGTCATATGCATACTTTTCTGTCTGCAGGGGAAATGACCTCCAGTTTCTTCAGGCAAAGCTTGCTGTTCCCTCCTCTGTGCTAGAACTCAGCATATACCCCCACCCTTGGAATCCCGCATAACACTTTATTGAACTTTTTTTTTCCTGACAATTTCCCACAAGATTGTGGGCTTCATCTGGTTCATCTTTTTTTTTTTTGTCTTTTGTCTTTTTCCGTGTCCGGCAACGGATCGCAACCCTCAGTGTTGCCCCCGTACCGGACCGGGGACCGGCAACGGGATTGCAACCCTCGGTGTTGCTCCCGCGCCTCGCTCAGCCAGTGAGCGGGAACCGGTCTGTATGTGGGATCCGAACCCTCG